AATAAACCCTTTCAAAGGTGCATTATCTGAAGACGAAATTGTTTGGGCACACACTTCAAGCCTGTGTGTTGGACACGAGGGCAGTGTTGGCGTTCGGCTTGTACGGAGAACGAGTGCTGAGTCAGCATTCGACTAGGACTTGCATTTAATCGCACGCTCCGCACCCGGGCAATGGCGGCCACCAACGCTGCTCCATGAACGTTTCAAAAGGATTAATTAAAACCCGAGAAGGATGATCGAGACCGCAAACAAATTCGGGCGGTGCAGCACACTCCGGAGCGCTCCCAGAGCCAAGCATTGATGCTCATCAAAACCTTTACGACCACCTCCAAATGCAAGAGGCGAGACTCCAATGGGAGACGTTATTCGACGTTTGCAGGTGCGACTCAAAGGAGGTAGGAACCTCGCGTAACCCGAACAAAATGCCTCGTCGCGCGAAAGCTTTCTGCATTCAACAGGCTGCCACAGTTCCCCCTCTGTTCGTTCAATCCATGACCATCGCCCACAGGTGTTCTGCAATAGACAACTACCTCCGGCAACTCCGGGGCGATTTTAACCATTCAGTATGCAGGAGGTGGATTTTTCGTGCATTCAACGGGAATTTGATCCCCAGTCGATCGAACCTGCATTCCTGCAAAAATTAAAGAATGCCACTAAACCGGCACAAGGAACCTCTGAAATGAAGAAGGAGCAAAAAGCATCGCTTTCGTAAATTTGCCCAGAAACTAATGGGGCCGGCCAACACTATGGTCACCCTCTGTTGTAAGAGACATTGTGTCAAAGGCAATGACTGCTACGGTTCTATACCTAAAAACAAGGACAAGAGGGAGGCAGATGTAAACAATTCCTCTGGTACCTTTTTTTAATGCAAAACAACAGTGAAGTGGAACTACAACAAACTGGTCCAATCGACCCTCTTAAGACGGCAAACATTATAGCTGAGACCAACATCAAGTATGTTCAGTCGCGTTTCGGCCTGGCGTTTTGTGTCATGAGGATGGAAAGGGTTTTGTGGATCTTCAGCGCCTGCAAAGTGTGTCCCGATGAGTGTGGAAAATGGCTCCCAAAAATGCATTCGTAGCCAGTGCACGACATTCCAAGGCACAGACGAATGTCACAGTACATGACAAGATAAGAACAGAGAGGAACTCTTGTAAGCTTTTTTTTGTCTTGTTCTAGAACTCCCTCGAAAACTCCATTGAATCACTGAACTTATTTAAAAATGGTACTACTAATATGAGACTACGAGCTTCTTGTGTTGACTGAAACTGGTCACGGTAGCCTGCTATTTTGTCGGCACACTTCTCAAATGCCAAAACCGTGCCTCCGCTATCCCAAGTTTGTTCGATGCGCATATTACGGCGTATGAAGACGAGTATATACTTTTAAAAGACTGGCCGCTGTACCTTCCTCTCTTTCCACGCTCAGTAAACGTAACACGCACCATATTCGGAACATGCTGAGTTCTAATAAAGGTAAAAGTAACTTCCATGCACATTCTACTACGAGTAGTAAGCAGATGTTAAAAAACCAGAAACGATTTTGTTGGGCACGGCATCTGTGTCTGTCACCCGAAAGTCATGGAGACGCTTCGTTTCCAACTTGTGTGAAGGTGATCACAGGATCATACCATTTAGCTGTCCATGAGGCCAAAGAAACTCAAATGCCATGCAAGATCTACGGCCAGTTACCGAATCATTCTGAACAAAATAAAGGCAAGAGTGAAGTGCACATTAAGGGGCGGAAATATATGCACGATGGCGAGTTGGACGACCTTAAAAATTGCAATAACATCTCGAAATATGGTGCCAATGTCCTGTAAGTTGGCAGCCCTCTTACCGATACTTTAAAGTGTTCAACAAGTTGTAGCATAGCACAGACAACCAGCATGACGCAGCGAAAAAGTGACCGCCCCATTTGAGTCCAGCACCAAAGACCAGCGCTTTGTCACCTGTTTCTTAAGTAGCGAAAACTATTCATATTCATTACTGAATGAAGTTGCCCTATGGTGATGCCTGTCACTCCAACAAGTGTTTTTGAGCAGACTAGAAGGTCCCAAAATGGCGAGAAGTCTGCGAGAGACTCTCCTCGACTGGTTCGGGCATATCAAGTGGTGACAGCAGAGCCTATTGCAGCAGTTGAAGACATCATAATGAAAAATGGTAGAATGATGATGGATGAAACGGCTGCATTGTCGTGTCACTCATGGGTCCCACCGTAATCGACTGACAGATTTTTGGAGCAATCAAGGAAGAAATGGGGAAACTATTTGCAGTTTGATGAAGAAGTACAACACGCGATGCATGAGTAATTTTGCATGCAACAAACTTTTTTTTTCTTTTTGTACAAGAATTTTTGCATTTGCCAAGAGCTAGAAGACCTACATTGAGCAGAATAGGGACTACATTGAAAAATAACACATATCTGTATCGCTTTTGTTTGATAAATTTAGAGCAGAAAAGCATTTTAGGTTGTCATTTGACTCACCCTCATACGTTTGGTCACTCTGCATGGAAAGGAAGCTTCTTTCCATCACAGCTATCTTGTGGCTTTTGGAAGGATGGAAACAACTAACCGACAAATATTGCTAAGTCACTGCCAGCCTTTGGAGCTACCCCAGAGGGTGAAGGCAAGACAACAGACAGAACTGCAAACTGCAAGCCATTGAGCCTCAACGTCTACGAGAGTCATAATCCACCAAGATCATCGCCCGTTGGCAGGAGCGTCTCATTTCGACAAATGAAAGGCTGAATGAAGATTGTTTTGTGTTTCGTAAGCAACTTCACATGTCTTACATCTTCACAGGGCAATCTGTGAAGAATGCAAGCTGTTGAAAAATGGCGATCAGAACACTGGAATAGGTTCCGCTCGTAGTTCGCCAACTTAAAATTCTCACATTTTCAAAGTGTAGATCCACTGTCGGAGTCTCTCGGAAGGGTGCAACTTATTCGCCGATACTGTTTTACCATAAGAGGGAGCAAAGCTGCCACATGAAAATTGTCTCAACCAATGCTTTAACTTTACGAGCCCATGTACATATCAGGCGCTTTTAAAGTCTCATACACACCTTTGTAGCTTGTTCAATTGCACTTACGATGAAACAAAATATAGGGTCCGATCAATATTGGTTGCGTTCATGAGGTCATGATGCTGCTTGGGATCAAACGAATCAAAATATCTCGTCCTGCCATCACAAAAAAAAAAAGGAAGAAAAATACTTTGCATACACAACCTCACAATGAACTCATCGTGGCACAGGATCGAAGCTGCCCACCAGTTTGAAAATTCCGTACTCCTGACACAACATGCAAAGTGGAGTCTAGTCTCTACAGGGTAAAGACTATTCTGAGCCCAGTACAGATATAATACAAGCACGAAACCGTCAGGAAACGAAAGATGATGGACAGGTCATTGAATGCACGAATATCTGTAGCACATAGTGTTAAAAAAAAAAAAATCTGAGAACACACAGTAAGCATCGATTATCACTTGAATCACGTCACCAAACTTTTATGGCTCAGGAAAAGGTCAATTTAACGGTCGCGGTTAATTAAGCAACAGCACGTCAAAGGCAAGCACTCGACCGCCTGCAAACATGGCTATTCAGCGAAAACCATCGTGCAGTAATGGACGAGCTCATATAGACAAACAAAACATCGACCCTGCTCGTTCACACAATATACGCAGCGTTGTCGCAAGCTTAACAACCTTTAGCTGCACCCCTCGATTACAAAAAAGTTCGTTTGTCGCCGGTTCGTGACGACTAGGTGCACGAAAAGTAACCAACAAACGTGTATTCGCCGCGTCCACAAACAAACAGTATTGGAGCAAGTCACACACACGGTCGCGACATCGGAAAGGGCTACCGTTCGCCTTCGACAAAACCGCACGGGATCTGCATAACGGGTAGGAAACGACTAGGTTTGCGGCAAATTCCACCACGTAGTGGATTCGGGTAGCTCGGCGAACCGACAACACGTCATCGAACTCGGACAGTACCCTAGGCACCCGACATCTGTCGCAGACGGCAACATGTTTACGAAGACTTCGGTTCGATCGTTTCGACCACGAGGAATATTAATTGCCGTCGGGTCGGCGACAAGTATGTCAGGGTCACCCGACACGGGGACTCCCGTCACCGCAGTCGCGGCGGCAGGTAGTGGGCCAGAACGCCGCGCGTCCGAACACACGGTCGGCAGAACTGCATCGCGACGCAGGGCCGAAACTGAGACGTAGATTGCAAAGGGCAGCGTGCTGGCGGTGTGACCAGCAGCAAAGCCGTTCGCGTGTCGGCAGCGCGGCGCTGGCCCGGACGGCCCCACGTACGCGACGGTCCCAGACACCGTGCACGACGTTATTAGCCACATATCGAGACGACGAAGAAAACAAGGTCACACGTCGTCCACCACGGCGCCGAGCCCCGCGCGAGCGAGCGCACGCCGGACCCGACGACGGCAGCGGCGCGACTAGGGCGAGATCGAGCGCGCGGGCCGAGCGCGTCGTGCCGGCGAGTAGGGACCCGTCAGTCGGCGGGCCGGAATCGCATTGAACGGCGTTAGGCTTAGCTTCCCGTGCGGAGCTGCCGGGGAGGAGCGCTAGTTGTAAAACCCGCCACCGGCGACCGCGGTAGAGAGAGCGCATGGGTCGTGACGTCTCAGCGAGCTCCGGCGAAGACGGACGGCACAAGCCGATGCCCCGGCGGCGGCGGCTCGGCGAGCGTGCACTCGGAGGCCGTCGCCGACCGATTCGCCGCCTCGTCCAGGCCGGGCCCGCGGCACGACACGCTCGCCCGTACTCGAGAAGAGGCCCCCGCCGGTGCGCTCGCAGCGTGGAAACGGGGCTAGGCCTAACGCCCGTTCCCAACTACCGTGTTGTCCCGGCCGCTGGTTACAAGGAACGTCTGCGTTTCGGCCCCAGACACCAGCGACTTTACGCGGACTGCCAGCGGCACTGAACACACTGCGGCTTTCAAGGGAGGCAATGAAACGTGTGAGGCTTACATTGTTGTCCTCGTCTAATGCTTTCAATAACTTATCCTTAATTTCGTAGGGCGAGCACTGCATCAGGCCGTAAAACAAAACTCCGCCACGACCCCAGCAGGCCAACTCCGTGACCGTCACACAGCCACTGACACAGTATGGCGGACATACGGGGCGCGAGGCACGACGGGATGGCTCGGGAACTTTGCCGAGCGTGACGTCATGGCTTCCGGACGTTGCCGAGTTCGGCCGACCAAGCTAGTCGACATCGACGCACTTTCAAAGCACCGAGACCGCCTCAGAATGGAACGTAGGAAGAACCGACTCGTGTGCCTGTGAAAACCAGGGGCACTGTGACCCTGGCAATAAAATAAGCGCGGAGAAAAAGAATGGAAACAGCCCCCAAAAAATATTTATTGGGGGGGAAGTGACCGATAGCGTACTTACAACAAGGTACATTCAAGAACGTTTCATGAACTACACGTTCAACACGTACGCTGCTTTAAAGTTCTCCAAAACAAAAGCTTTCACACAGCTGTCTACGATAGTAGCAAATTTATCACCCGAGACAACCCGCGAACATAAATACACAAACCGAGAGAACGTTGCCTGACGAGTTAGATACTATGGCCACCTAGGGAATGTTCTGCGAACCACGAATGAGTGCCATCTGGTGCATGCTGAAGCAACTGTAATGTGTCAAAAAAATGTCGAAGCTATGATTTCGTTGTCCGTTCCCCCTTTCTATGTATCTTCCTCATGTCTAATTACCGTTACCAACACGCTCGTTTTGTTCTTAACTATGATTTTATTTTACTGCGGCACATCAGCATGCCACTAGATTCCATCGTAGTTGGTACCAGAAATTGTTTATTTGTCTTTACGCCAGTTACTGTTCACATTACTGCGAACGCTAAGGTTTCTGGTGAGTAACTTTTCTTTGTATGACTGACAGGGCCCTGTCCGCCCTGTCACATTGCCGTACAAACTGTCTGAAGACACCCCGTTGCTCTGGGGCAGGGGGCGCGAGCGCATCCGCAAGACGCTAGTTATGATAGCTGAACTGGCTGAACCATCCAGGTGGCTCTGCAACATTAGATTTTGCACGTGCCACGTTCGAATGCAAGCATCTGAAGATGCGCGATAACAGAACCTCTAAAAAAAAAAAAAAAAAAAAAGAAAAAAAAAAAGAGATTTATGCAGCTCGCGCCCGCAGCGTCCCATTAAACATTTTTTTTCATCTGTGCCTTCGGACAATCGCATCTCAGAAAGGGAGGACGACGAGGAGGTGCCGCTCTCGACAAATACACCCTAAATTCCTTTTTTTTCTCTCCCAAATTTAACAGTGTGTGGTGGTGCGGCCTACAGCTGCACCACCACACATTGTTCATCCAGACCTAGAAGACGTCCCGCAGACGTGATTCTCGGGTCGGAATTCTATTTGTGTGTGTGTGGGGGGGGGGGGGGGGGGGGGGGGGGGGGGGGGGGGGGGGGTCGGTCGGTCGGTCGGGGTCTATCGCTCTCCCTTCGGCCATTGGAGGAACGCACAGCGAGATGGTGCATATTGGCCGATATTAACGTCATGCTCATAATGTTGTGGTCCCGCTCTTTTGGAAGCAGCAGACGATCATGGCCTTTCTCGCTCGTTGTTGATAATGGGACGGCTCGTGACAGTCATCCGATCAGCGTACTCTGAGCGATATGCCTGATTGTGGCGTATACGCGACGTACCATGACGGCGGCGAGTCTGGTGGCAAAAGCAACACCCGCCGTGCGTGCTTTAAGCGGTGGCTCGCGAAGACGGCCGGCTCCGATAGGAGCCTAAGGAAATCTCCGAGCTGTGGTACGTGTGAAACATTGGCGCAATCTTCCCAATTTTTCCTTCGTAACCGCCCGGCCTTTAATCCAGCAAGATGTTTGCTGCTATGGTGTATCGAAGTGTTGTCGTTAAAACCATTTGAACCGGGCGGCGGTTCGCGCCACTTAGCCAGGAAGTGCAGAAAGCCAGATCTGCGAATGCGTGGCGCCATCTGTTAGTAGCAGCATCAACCATTAAGTTTGTTTGGTTTGTTTACATCGCATATCTGTGTTCTGCGTTTTACCGGGCATAAAAATATCCCGGTCTTCATTTCTTGCATTTTGTTTCGGACACGCACACCGTCGAAATTTGAGCATGATAAACAATTTAAAGCGGGCGGCGGCTCGCGTGAACTCGCATGAAAACACCTCTTAGGAAAGTTTAGTCAAAATGCCCTTGTTATCCAAGGAGTTTGTGTTACCCTGTTATCTTACAGATGGGTTGCTTCCCTTCATACTGACCAGGGTTCAAGAGGAGGGAATCGGAGCGATTTGAGCGAAATATGCGGTTTCGTACATTCATGTAAAGAGGCTTGTGGTGTCACAAGGCACTGATCTCACCTAACACAGTGGTTTCTTTGTATATAGGGCGGACCTAGTGACAAGTTTAATGAAATCGCTTTCATTAAGCAATATCCCTTTGAAAAAACCAACGAACCAACAAAAAAAACGAAAAAACACTTTTGAAATAACTTTGCACCTATATAAGATTTCTTTAGTTACAGCAGAATCGTCGGGGGGTGTAGCTCAGATGGTAGAGCGCTCGCTTAGCATGCGAGAGGTACGGGGATCGATACCCCGCACCTCCAATGACCTTTTTGCATTTTTTAAAAATGTTTGTTTGGTTTTTGTAATTTGCAATAATTTCTTTAGTTCCTCTCTTTTCTTTTGTTTACTTAGGGAATTATTTTTATATATCTATTTATATGACCCTGTGCTTGAAGCGCCACTGGAGTCATAACACAGGAAGGCATCACCGAAGACAGAGTAAAGAAATACGTCACTTGTTGCTTCAAAATAAAAGTAACCTCCCTAGTCCCTACATAACCTATTATCTAGTACATTTCAAAATATCTGTTACAAAATTGTTACAAAAGCGCTATCTCTTTGACGAAAATGGGCAAAGTATCGCAAGCTTTTTTTGTTTCACCTATACAATATATCTTAAATCATATTGACCTTGATCACTCTGAATATCTCGAAATGAGCTGTTGTTATCTTCTAGAACTATTATTTTATACGTAGAAAAAAATTAAAAAACCTTGCAAGTTTCAAAACATGAGAAACAAAATCTTGCAAGGTCGCAACTAATTTTCTCATGAACTATTTTTTAAATCTTTTTCACTTTTAATGTTGGGCTAGGTAATAACGTTTTTCATGCATATATGAATGAAAATCTAATATTATGTTTTTATGTCGTTTAAGCATAATTTTACGTATGTGCCCTGTTGTCGGTATTTTGTCCTCAATATGGTTAAAATTCCTAATTTAAGCACCCAAGGTGCCAGGTAATAAAAACAGAAAAAAGGTACCGCATGCAGCGCCAACTAAAAAAAAAAAAAAAAAAAGAAACAAACAAACAGCGGTAAACCGTTGGCTGTATGGCTGCGGTGAGTCACCCGCTCCTTCAAGACCGCGGATCCGCCCTCCCTCCCCATTTCGCCACGCAAACTGAATGGAATGTCTGTACGACCCTTTCTTCCAAGCGTGGTCTCGATGTTGATGAACTACAACGTGTGTCGGACGCAATGGCTCGACACAAGGCAGTGCTCATTCTTGTCGACTGGATATAATTATAATGCAATTAAATGCAAAGGTGCAAGCGAGCTGGACAAGAATGACCGAAATAATCCCTGGAGAAGGGGAACAAGAGGGACATAGGACAAACATAAATCTCCAAACACAGCTAGGTGACTGGTGAGCGACCGAAAAAATCCGCCTAGTCCGGGTAAAGTTACGTGATCATGCTAAGAAGTTCCAAGATGGCGACGATTCATTTTCCGTGAGCCCTACTTGTCATGTCGCAAGTAACGCGACGAAAGTGGCCGTACTTGGCATGCCAGTGATAAATCGCCCCATGTACTTATCGCAGCAGCAAGGTTTCATCCGCCGTGGACAATCGCGATCTCGAAGCGGACGCATACGGCGTAGCTCTGGCGAGACACACGCCTCGCTATTTTGTTAAACTAGCGTACCTCCGGTAGCTTCCGCAGCTCCACTATTTATCCACTCTCACCGCGGATGGGCAGTAGTGGGATCTCTCCTTAGCGCATAGCGTAGCGGGAGAACCAGAACTACCTACTTAAACTCTGTATTGTTGTAACACATACGATAGACTGTGCATAGTGGAACGGCAACGAACACAATTATTATTACTGCGACCAAAATTCAAAGGACCACACTCTCAAGAAAAAAGGGAGTCAAAGGGTGTATCGTTACACCCTTTGTCCCATATAATACACCCCAAAACTTCAATTCGACGTACAGCGCCCTACAGTCGAACAGACGGCCCGAAATTTTACGAGGGGCTTGATGAAATGAAATAATCTCGCCTTTTCAGCATGGGTTCCGAAAGGGACTTTCTACTACTACTCAGCTCATTTCAACTATTCATTATTTTGCTTCTGTAGTAGATGGGCCTGGTCAAGTCGACGTCATCTTCCTTGATTTTAGCAAAGCCTTCGACAGAGTTCCTCATTCCGGTGTTATATACAAACTAAATGAGATTGGCCTCCCCAGCACAGTTGTTCAATGGATTTCAGCTTATCTTCAAATGCGAAAACAATTCGTCGATGTAGACGGTCACCATTCTGATCCTCTTCCTGTAATTTCGGGTGTTCCGCAAGGGAGTGTCCTTGGCCCTCTTCTTTTTTCAATTTTTATTAATGACCTCACTTTATGCATAGATAAAAGCGTGAGTATTCGTTTATTTGCGGTCGACTGTCTATTGTTCAAAGATATTAACTCTACTAGGGACCAAGTTGTTCTGAACGAAAGTCTTAATGCAGTTTCCAGCTGGTGCGATCGTTGGGAGATGCGCATCACTAACAAAAAGCCCTCTCATCAGTATGAATACTTTATTGGTGATAACTACATCTCTCGGACGATGAGCTCTAAATATCTTGGTATAACAATTTCTAGCAACTTATCTTGGTCCTCACACATTGAACACGTTTGTGGAGCTGCCCGTCGAAAACTAGGTATGATAAGGCACAAGCTTAAGCACGTGCCTTCTCATGTGAAACTTTTAGCCTATAACACATTGATAAGAACGAAGTTAGAATACGC